AATATCCTGGGATGCTATAACTATTGATTTAATAAACTTAAGTGCTCACAGAAAACTCAGCAGGCAGACGTGATTTAGATGAATGGTTTGAGGTTTATCGTCTTAGATTTATGATTTGGGCAGTGATTCAGAAATGGTGTTCCAAAACTCATTTCGAATGTGAAGAGACTTTAAAATAGTTACCGGCAGGGCATCATTAGATGGCATAGTCATTAAAAAAGACCTTGCACAATCCAGAAAGAGAAGAGCAGAGCCACAGAAACTGCTCTTTGGTGCCCTGGGAGGGACAGACTCCCTCAGCTGCTTTCAGGCTCCATCTCAGCACCTCCCATTACTGCAGAGACCTCTGTAGACTGAGCTGCTGATATGGTGCCAGTAATTTGCAAACTGAAACGCTCGCCAGTCACCCTCTGAATCTTGCCAACATTATTATAACTCATACCTTTAAATGTGCACAAACTAAAATGGCTAATTTTTTCCAGGCGAATATATTCGTAGACTAAATTACCTAATGTTTGACTCTGATTCCAGCAATGTCATGCTGAGATAGTCTGATCTGCATGTTTTTACATTAATTACCTGCTTCTCTGCTTTGTGAAAATGCTACCATTTGCAGATTCAGTTCAATTAGTAGAGGCTCTCTTCTCAATATGGGCTGTAATGGTACCTCCACCTCTGTCCAGCAGCTGCATTTACAAACTCTAGCCTGGCATCATGTCTAGAACTTAGACGTAGACAAAACATTTCATCTCATTGGATTGTCATCCCCCTTATCTTTAAAAGGTGGGGGATGTTAAGAAGTTATTTCTTAGACTCCTCTGTTTTGGGAAAGCTGAATTGTGTTTCCTGGACTTAGTACTCATTCTGATGGAAGAAGAGCCTCTCTCCAGATTTCTGTTTGTATTTGGGTTCAATCTGAATCTATTATGTCGAAGGATAGGACCAATGTAGGTTAGAGACCCCGCTCACTCTCCTTACCTTTAACATTGTTTCGTGCTTTCAGGGTAACTGGCTCAGTATACATGTCAGTATGGGCATAAAGAGCTTGCTCGGCTTGTTGTAGACATTCATAAAACATTGTTGAATGAATGTATTTATTTCAGAACCCCATGCACATCTGTGAACCAAGAAGTATTAAGAAACCTTAGAATAAAAAGAACCAGCCCACTTTAGAGCTTTCAGCCAGATTTTATAAGCAGACCTGGTTGAAATATGATGAGTAGTATCTTTTACTAATACATATATGAAATACTAGGGAGTGTAAAAAGAAGGGCCCAGAAAATTGGTCATGAGGATTTAGTGATGCTTAGAGTACAACAGAAAACCCAACTTCTTATGTCAAGGCAGAAGCTTCCTAAGCTGGAATAACTGGATTGACTCCTACTAGGGTTTTAATATCTCTCATGGGCTATGCATTTTAAAGGTATTTAAGGGATAATTGCTAAGTGGATGAAATGAGTCTCTAATAGAATATGAAGGTATTAGACCTGAATAGACAGCATGGGAGAAAGGAAAGACTTGAGAGCTGGAATCCTGGTTGTTCCTCTACCTAGCTGTGTGGTAGAGATATATACCCTACTTCCCACTCAGTTGAAGGACATTACATGAAACACAAAATTTGTTTTTGCTATGTTCTATAACCATCTTTTCTTGATAAGATCATTGTTTTCAGACCTCAGTTTTCTTAGAAAATTGATTTATCATTTCGAATGAATTGTGCAGCTTATATTTATCTTTTTGCATTAGCTGTTAGAGCATTTGGAACTAAGTAGTCAGCCTACTTCGCTAACTGTAAAATGAAGGTTATCCAGGGACTCTAACCTGTTACTTACTGATTATGCCTGTTGTAGGTGTCTGACTTAGAAAAAGTATGTAAAAGATCTCTTTTTTTTTTTTGAGGTTTATTTTTTATTTATTTATGCCTATGAGAACTGGGGTGTTGGAGGGGTGAGAAGATTCACCAGAGGCAGAGTAGAATAGGTAGATAGATGAAATAATACTGCTAAGGGGAGCAGCAGGGGGACAGGATGGATCTGTTACATCACTGGGTCAGCTTCCTGGGGAGAGGGGGTGGGCAGCTCTAGCCACAGTGGCTGGAGATAACTTCTATGCTGAGACTTTAACCCCTGCACCACCAGGGGAATCCCCCATGTGAAAGATCTTTAACAGTATGAAATTTCAAAGAGCAGAGAGAGAAAAGAAAGCATTTCAAATAACAGGTTCCCAATCAAACTAAAAAAAATATGGCTTAGGCCAAAACAGGGCAGCTGAGGCCAGAAAGGACCAGAACAATTCCAAGGAGTAACCACAGCAGGAACCACAAGAAAGTGTAACCGTTATGCTTGTCTCAGAGAGCTGAGACAGAAGGAGAGAGCCAAAATTTAAAATGTGCCCTGTAATCGACCAGGTCAATAGAGCAGCTGCCATTGTGTCTGAACGTCCAAGGAACAGGCTTCTCATGTCTCACCTACGTGTCTCTTCTCCACATGTCGCCTCTCTTGTAAACTTCAATGTATTAAGTCATCTCACTCCTTCCCCACTGACCCCCTTTTCAAAAAGTTCAGCTCATGGCATGCAGGGTATTGGAGCCCACAGCAGTTGCGTATAAGTGGGTGCAGAGAAATGGTGCCTGTTGGCTGTGCGTATGCCCCTCCTCCTTTCAAGAGATACATTCTGGAACAGTCCTAGGCAGATGCGTGGTCTTAGGACAGTATCAGAGCTTCCCTATCTTCATCTTACTTCAACAGTGCTTATTTCTCCATCTCACCCATCACTTTACTGGTCTAGCCCTTAAGTTTGGGTGTATCTTTGTAACCTAGCTCAAGTTGGTTTTAGAGCAAGACATGATAAAATTTAAAAAGGAAGAAAGAAGTGGAGGAGGGAGATAAAATGAGAAAAAGAGACAGACACACACAAAAAAGGAAGGGAAGTGAAGAAGGGGTTTTTGTGATGTGTAATGAGATTGTGTGTATTGTACAGTCAACTTCACAACAGTTTTTGCTTTCCTTCAAGAACCACATGGACTGATACCACTTTAGACATATAAGGCAAATAATAGTTCTGTTGACAATAATTGTGTGTTAACAGAATTGAAATAATACTATGATATATGTCTAAATAATTATATATAGTAGATAATCCTATTCACATATAATTATGGACATAATGTATATAATTATGATACGTAATACTACTATACACACTATATGTGTGTATAATTTTGTATATTATATATTGTATTATATAGTATATCATATATGGTATAATATATAGTACTGTGGTATTATACATAGCATAATATGTAATATACTAGTGTATATATATACATGGTGTTATATATGTAAATCTATAACTTTTAAAGAGTATTTAGGGAGTTCCTACCAGTGAATAAATAGGGTAAGAAGGAGTTGGGATAGAGAAAGAATGGGAACATTTGGGCTTTACCAACTAGAGTTTCTTAGGTTTGTTATTGTTATTTGTTCACGTTTATTTATGTGTGAGGTTTCTATTAATAAAGGATTGCTTAGGGAACAAAAGTTTGAAACATTGATGTGACAGCATGGTAAATGGGTAGATAACGGCTATGGATTTGAAATTTTGAATGTATGAATTTTGGGGGCTATAAGTTTAAGTAGTAAAACTATTCACTGTTCTGTGTGGCTGTTGGATGTCACTGAGAACAAGTTCACTCTAAGAGTATGTATATGAACATATAGAAAAGGAAATCCATTTAACAATGTCTAAGAACAAATTTTAAATATTTTTAACTAGTATCTTCATTAAAATATCCCAAATACAATTATATGTTAGAATATCACATTCTGGGCCCTCCCTGATGGCACAGTGTGTTAGGATGCAGCACTGCAAGCTGGCCACAGCCACTTCCGTGCGAGTTCAATCCCCAGCTCTGGGGTGACCCAAGGGGGGCGGAAATACATCAAATTCTCCACACTCCCACTCCAGCTCATCCCACTCCAGCTCCATCCTGCCTGGAAATCTAATGAACTTTAATGAAGCTCTTATTTCCAACATGGTATTATGGATTAGCTAGGAGCATGGAGAATAGAATGCATTGCAGTTTCTTTCTCTTTCTACCCACTAGGGTGCAGCAGTAATACACGGGAAGAAGGGAACTCCTCCAGTGTTAGGTGTTGAACCCGGCTGGCTTTTCTGAGAAGAGAGCTCCCAAAAAGTCCCTCAGATTCTCACATAGGAATTATTAGGGGGTCAGATTCCTTTCCTCCTTCCCACACATTTAGAGTTTAATAACTCTGTTTGAAGTCATAAAATTTATATGTTGACTTAGGCAAACATACTTATTTAAACATGAGCAGAAAAATATCTCTAAAAAGACATTTATGTAAAAGCTTTTGTTGTTGTATATTGTGTAACAAGCTATTTCAAAATATAGTGACTTAAAACAACATCTCTCTTGAGCTGGTTGGTTGGTTGGACACAGCCAGGGACCTTCTGCTGCATGTGCTATGACTGGGATTTTGGACACCTGAGGGCTCACAAGGGCTGGCGTGTCCCAAGTAGCCTACTTGGGTGGCTGGCAGTTGGTGCTGGCTGTTGGCTGGAAACACAGCAGAGACTGTTACCAGAGCATCCAGTTCTCCGCCTGTGGCTTTTTCATGTGGCTGAAGTGCCTCACAGCATAGCAGTCAGTTTCCAACAGAGAGTGAGTATCCCAAGAGTGAGCATTCCAAAATGAAGGAGGAAGAGATTTCCAGACATGATTCTCCATCCTTCTAAATGTTCAAAGCAGTTACAGTATCAGTGCAGACTGAAGGAAAAGGAAATAAGCTTCCCTCCTAATGTGAGAAACAGTCTGTGTAATGCAGAGGGTGAGATCGGTGAGGACCATTTGGAGACTACCACGTTTAATGGGTTAAGAGAAAAGGACTGTCGCATGACTAGTTCATGTTTCTTAATGTGGTGCTAATAAGATTTAAATGTTCAAAAATCATTCTTGTGTTCTCTCCTCTACTCCTGTGTAGGACTGTGGTCTAAAGCAATAATTAAAAAAAAAAAAAAAATGGCCAGAGGATCAGTGTCCGATGAAGAAATGATGGAGCTCAGAGAAGCATTTGCCAAAGTTGGTAAGTAGATCTCAAATGGCACAATGCCCTACTTTATTGAATAGTTTCAGGACAGGTTCAATGCAGTGCTAATTTGAGCAAAAGAGTGATGGGAATAAAGTAGTATTGAGTGAGTAAAGGAGCTGGAGGGAACTTATTTTTGAAAGATATACTTTTACTGCAATAAAAATAAAAGAAAGACATGCTTCAAGAAAATTACTTCTTCTGTACAGTAAAATTACTTTTCTCAACTGTAGCTTTTTTCCTGGAAGTGGTCCCTAAGTCTCACCTTTTATACCTGGTCTGCTTTCTTTGGTTTCCTTTGTTATTATGCTATACTTTTTCTTACTGTTCGTCTATAAGCCTGTGATTCATTTTCCCATATTTTTCTATAAGAGTCCCTCCAAAATCTGTTGCCAGAGCCTTTGTTTTCGAGTTAACGATTCTTCCACCTTGGAAAATTCACATCCAGTAACTGCTGGTGAGATTCCCACTCTTGCATCAAGTCAGGCTGAGACACCTGAGTGATTTCCTCCTTAACCCCTCGCCTCCAGTCTCCTTTTCTCACCTATTTTCCTGCTATTCCCTGAGTTGCTCTGCCATTTGCCTTACAGATACGGATGGCAATGGGTACATCAGCTGCAATGAGTTGAACGACTTGTTCAAGGCTGCTTGCTTGCCTCTGCCTGGTTATAGAGTGAGAGAAATTACCGAAAACCTGATGGCTACCGGTGATCTGGACCAAGATGGGAAGATCAGCTTTGATGAGTTTATGAAGGTGGGCATCATACAAAATACAGAGAAGCATTTGAAACTTGAACTTTGAGTCTGTTTTAAAAAATACCTACAATACATTTTCGCCCTCTTGGCTTCAACATTACATGTCCTTTCCTTTGTGCTTTTCTTGATCACAGATTGAGTCTCTAAAGATATATTATAATTTTTCAGGTTTTTCATGGCCTAAAAAGCTCAGAGGTTGCCAAGACCTTTAGAAAAGCCATTAATAAGAAGGAAGGCATTTGTGCGATCGGAGGTACTTCTGAGCAGTCTAGTGTTGGCACCCAGCACTCCTATTCGGGTAAGTTAGACTAATGGTTGGAAGTGCAGGTGGAGAGGTGTTAGGATGAGAGAAATGAGTGCCGAAATGAGTGTATTCCTCACAGAAAGGAAATACATATGCTTTCTGGGGTTGTATTCTAAAGTCATTATTAAAACTTAAGGAATGTAAAGAAAGACAGAAACCAACACTGTTTTCTTAGGCATAAGTGGGCCAGTCTACAAAATGGGAAAAGCAGTTTAGCTCTAAATACACAAATTGGGAAAAGCATTTTGTATCAAGAGTTCTAGCTCTAAGTAGGGCATATATAAAATAGTCTTACCTGAATTTACAAAATTTATCAAAGGTTGCCAAAATTCCTTTGTAAATTTTACAGACAAAATTAGCTACTCAAACTTCTATATCCAGACTTAATGATTATTCTTAATGTCTGCTGAATGGCCAAAAGAAATGGTTTTCATTGATTTCAAACGAGTGTATTTATTCTGAAGAGTGTGTTTGTTCTACAGAGTGTGTGTCTGTTGTAAAGACTGCCATCCAACAGCCTTCATGGAAACTTCTAATAGCCCAAACACTACTGTAATTCAACAATTCCCAAACTGAGTTCTTCAAAACATTAGTTAATCTTAAAGATAAATTCATGGTCAAGTGCAACCTATAATTGCTAAGACAAAGTTTAGACTTTTATTTTTAAAACAGAAATTTCCAGAGCCTTTTGCCATATAAATGTTTATAATCAGTCTTAAAGACGGTGATATGTTGCTTGGTGTTTCACAAACTGTTGTGACTCAGGATTCTTCTGAGGGACACTATTGTTTTCTGTGACATGGGTTTGGGAAGCACTGTATACAAGGCATAACTTGAGATATTATAAAATTTTTAAAATCAACATTTTGCAGCTTTACTGATAAGAAAGAGTATATAATGAATGCATAAATTATGATTATATCATGATTACATAAAGAAGCAGAGCAATATTGCAAGGATTGCCTGTGAATCATTCCAGGGGTAAAGGCAAGGTACTGAGTTTTATTCTGCAAGAATTAGTCACATTCATACATAACTTTCATATTTACAAAAAATACATTTTATTATATATATTTTTATCTATATAAAATATATGTGCATACATTTATTCTAAATATAACACACTTGCAAATATATGTCCTCTAGATAGGCCTACTTGTATATTTTACAACCTAGCGTGAAGTCAGCTGAAGTTTTTCTTTTTTAATTTATTCTTTAGTTGAAGTAAGAATATCACACTTCAATAAATGTGGGGTGATAGGATAATAGACCAAATAACCTTGTGTTGTTTTTTCTGGGCATGAGAATATATAAGAACCAGGTGTATAATTTCGCTTGTACCTTATTTTCACTTTGCAAATAAATCATTTTAACTGCCTACTTGCAGAGGAAGAAAAGTATGCCTTTGTCAACTGGATAAATAAAGCCCTGGAAAATGACCCCGATTGTCAGCATGTAATCCCAATGAATCCAAACACGGATGATCTCTTTAATGCTGTTGGAGATGGCATTGTCCTTTGGTAAATAACATTTCTTTTATTGGTTTCCAAAGCTGTCTCTGGAATTTTCTGGAATACTGACAATTCATCACATTTATCCCAGTCCAACTTCCTTCAATGCTCAGCTAGACCTGAAATATTTGTCTGGACTTTCACTTAGAAAGTCTCAGAGAACAAACTAATTTCAAAAGCAGCTTATGAGAAATGTAAAATTACTGTTGCTTGGTTGGAAGAAGGGATGCACAATCGAGACAAACATAAATATAGCTGGAGATATAATAATACAAAGCCAATAACAGTTTGGGGGGAATACATGCCAACTTGCTTAATCTGAACATGGCCTATCATGAGAGTACATAGCAGCATGGTAAGTGAAACAAGCCAGTGAAAGTTCTTAAGCAGAGGGACTTCTGAGTGGTAAACACAGATACACAGCTGTCCCGGGACACCTGGGAAAGGATGAATGTGTTCCCTCCAGTAGGTCACAGTTCAGTTCAGGAATGCTTCTTTGGAAATGCCTCTGTAGCTTTTGCTATAGCAGCTTCTCTGCCTCTGTAAGACATGTTATTAGTGAGGAGATTTGAAATGCCCGATGCCAGGTAGGCTTAGGATTTGAAAGGAAGGATGTTGGGTGAGACTTGGAGCCCCACCCCCACTCCACCACTAACCAGAGCAATCCTGGTTTTGATATTTTACATAATAGAATTCACTAACTAATACTAGTTTAATATTTTCCAAATGATAACTTTGAAGTTGTTTTGTCTAAATGGCAGGAAAGTGCCTTTTATTAAATATATGTACACACACATACAAGACAAACTTAAGGAAATCCATTTAAAAAGAAAAACAGCGAGGAGTTGCTTAAAATTGCTAGGAAAATGTGTTAGCATTGATTTCTCATTAAGAAAAAGAAATAGTCACATATTTACTGTCACATATTTACTAGCCTTTGATCTTTTTTGTTCTTTAGGATTTTTTTTTTTTTTAAGATTTATTTATTTATTCATACAGAACTGGGGTACAGGCCAGAGGCTCAGGGGCGGTGAGAGGCTTCACCAGAGACAGAGTGGGGAGCAGAACAGGCAGATCGACGAAGTACACTGCTGAGGGAAGCAGCGGGCGGGTCAGGAGAGGTCTGGCTCGCCATGTGGTCTCCTCCGGGGCAGGCTGCAGGCGGGAATCGAACTCATACGGAAGTGGCTTCAGATTCTCAGTGCTGTGCTTTAACCCGCTGCGCCACCAGGGAGGGCCTCTTTAGGATTTTTTTTAACTTTATTTCTTTAAATAAAATGGAAATGACCTACAGATACTTACTTTTTTGCTCCACTACAGTTTAAACCAATGCTAAATTGGTACTATATCCAAAAGTTTGCTTTTTTTAATTAAATTATTTCTTTTTCAGTAAAATGATCAACCTTTCAGTGCCCGACACTATTGATGAAAGAACCATCAACAAAAAGAAACTCACCCCTTTCACTATTCAGGTATGTCTTCCTTCTGTTACTCTAACACAGGATTGTGCTGAGAATGAGTTCACATCATGAGTGCTGAGTCAACCTTTCTCAGACACCAGTCAAGCCCCAGGTTATGGGATGGTTATTTCATGACTTGGTGTGCCTATAGGGACACGTATCTTTTGTGTCTTTATTAGTATAGCAGGGTGGCATGCTGATGCAGTGTGAGTAGTTGGGACATTTTTTCTTCTGGCTACATTGAATAACAATTCCAACTGGCTAAGTTTTAACTCAGAATTTCCCTAGCAATTTATCTCTGAACTGATGACAACTACCAGCTTTTAGCTGAAAAGATAAGCAAGCCTTTCTAAGAAGAGAAAGAATGGAAACAGGAAGTGCTCTGGTGGCTTTCACGGTGATGTCACAGCCACTTGCTTTGAGTCCTTGAACTTGTTGTGCCACGTCCCCTCCCTTGGCGCCTAAGTGAGAAATCCTTAGAGCTTGGCACAGTCAAGGTACCGGGCACACGGGAGGAATACGTGGCTGATTCTCGAATGGTCACTGTAACTTTTTGATTTGTTATCTGATTCTGTTGATGCACAACAAAGAAATGCTATGGATATTGTGCTTCGTTTCTAATGATACTCTTGATAGGAATGTAACTTCCTCTATTCTCGATACTGATTTACTTCTGAGAAACTCCCTTACAATCTTTAATATTATATATTAATATTATATACCAGGTGGTTTGTGAAATGAATGGAGAGAATAATTAAAAGGATTAAAAAAGCATAGGTAATAGGGTATTTGTTTAGCAGCACTGAACCTTGAATACACGGTGGTTTCCTAGGGCTCCAAGTTGGTTTCGGGCTCCTGGCAACATCACAAAAACAAAAAGAAATTAATGTATTACCTGTCATGCCTCTATTGAAAAAATCATTGTACCCCTATATTTGCTTGCCAAGAAAAACTGTGTAAATGCTCTGCACTCTTAAAAATAAATCACATTCAGATATGCACTCCTAGAAGTCGTATCTATCACTCAACCTCATCCTTGTCTACCCTGCGGCAGAACTGCAATCCCTGAAACTTGTCTCCTGCTCCTGCTGCGCTGGTCCGCGGCATTGTTGATTAACTAAAACAGTAACTAGTAGTAAGTAAACTGTATTTCTGTTATGTTTCAGTATTTAACATAATTCTCTTGCTCAGAAAACATGCCTCACCTCTGAATCAAGAACAATATATTATGTCCTCTTTAGATCTAAGCCACCCTATGTACTTTTACAAAGGGATGTGGTAACTAAAGTGGGAAAAGGATTAAACATTTATGAATGCATTTAACATCACGTTTACTTACTATTTTGGTCACAAGTAGAAACAGTATTTCTTACTCACCATTTGAGCTCTACTCTTGGACAAAACCCACTTCTTTTGATCTCTTTCCAATTGTACTTTGTTTTTAATTTGTCATTAAAAAACCTTCTATATATCTCTGTTTTTGGCATGTTCTCCTTTGAGGACCTGAAAGGAGTCTAGATTTAGATTCTAGACTAGAAATTTCAGTGACCTGTTACAATGTATGTGAATTATATTATGCACACTGTGGCTAGTTATAACAACATATAATCTATATATGTGTGTATGCACAAACCTGTTTGTGGTGTTTGTATTCAAACTCCCTAGCTATTCAAACAATAAATTGTCCTAGTAAAAACTACTCTTTCCCAGGAATTTGATTTGCAACTTTTTCATTCTTTGAGACCTAACCTGAAAGACAACAGTTTTTCTGTTACTCTATATTGACCTTGATTTACATCAACAAATGTGTTACTAATGATAATTGTGACAAGAAAATGACTAAACTGAAAAGTGCTGCCTATATTCTGGTTGATGGAGATACTGACTATGTAAGCAGCATCAGAGAACAAGATGGAAAAATCTAATGAACTTCATCCTGACCACAGCAGGCCTTCAACTCTAGGTTCATTGCAAAAGTCCACTGTGTGGGTTTCCCGTAAATACTCATTGACTAAAATGCAAATCGCTTCGTACATCTAGACCTGTGGACCTTCCAGTAGGGAAAACAGTGTCGCTTCTGCCCATCAGAAATCATCTCTTAGCATCTGCATCAAGGAAAAAACTTGCATGTGTTTTGTCTTTTAGGAGAATTTGAACCTGGCTCTGAACTCTGCTTCAGCCATTGGGTGTCACGTGGTGAATATAGGGGCTGAGGACTTAAAAGAGGGAAAGCCTTACCTGGTGCTGGGACTTTTGTGGCAGGTCATCAAGATTGGGTTGTTTGCCGACATCGAACTCAGCAGAAATGAAGGTAGACGTAAAACCTCAAACATGAATGGCTGGACTTTTTGCTAATGCATATTTTGTGGGCTGTTGCTGGAAGATGTCAGGAATAGTTAAGGTCAGAATCCTCTGTTTCTGAAAACTACCAGTGATTTTGAGGCTATTGTGTTAATATAACAGATTGTTTTCACACTGACTTTTGTAGAGGACTGAACAAAAGCTTTTTAAGACCACAGTCTAATAATAATGCTTGTTTAGAACTTACAGCTCAGTCTAACTGTCCGGAACTCTAAGCTTAAGAGCTTTTATAAATTCACTCTGTATATAGATATTTTATGTTGAATATTAGACTTTTTCAAATTGTATTTTTTGAAGTGATTCATATCACTGCAATGATTGCTCCAGACTAGGAGAAACTTGGTTTATTTCTTACTGAAACTCTAGAAAATGATTGGGGTTTCAGTGTTCTCCACTGAGCATGTAGCTGTCAGTCTTTATCATCTCTCATCAGCCTTGCTGCATTTAAACAATTACAGCCCTATTTTTTAGACAGAAGAGTCAGATGATGATAAACATCATTAAAAAAAAAAAAAGAACAACAATGTTACCTTAAATTTTCAGGTACAGATTTTACCAATATGAACTCTGTGGCTATACTCTAATTAGAAAGGTAGGTAGACAGATAGGTAGATAGTTAGATAGATAGACAGACAGACATGTAGATAAATAGGTAGACACTTTCATGCATATGTCCAAATCACAGTTACCATTGAGGAATCCTGAGGTACCACTTTAAAGCCAATATATTAAACATAATATAAAGAAGGATAAAAAGCAAATAGGGAACTTAGAACTCACAAGAAATAATATTTATTTGCAAATAATGACCTTAGCTACACCTCTCGCTGAGCAAAAAAAAAAAAAATTATTCATCTGGGGAAACAGAGTTGTTTACACTTTTGGAGATGCTATAAATATGTAGGTAATCATTTGAAATATAAAGCACCATGGGATTAGACAAGAAGCCATTGTCATTATTACAAAAATTGATCTCTTAGAACAAAAATGTTATCACAGCAGGAAATGTGCTTTGGCAGCCCTAGTGGAGTTTTCAGAGCCCATAATATTTGCTATTTTTGATGCTCACCCACAGTATTTGGAAGCATATATATAACATTGAGATATACTGGTGCCTTGTCTTCCCCATCTGAATTAATGGGAAAGGCAAATAAGCTCATAATAACTTACGCCTCTTTTAGAAATGGGACTAGTCAAACATACCTTTACCTCAGAGAGAGCATATCATGGCTTTTCAGCAGAGTTCACTTAAAATTGTAATTAATTCTCCCAAATAACCTCTATATTTATTTTTCTTTTATTTTCATTCTTCAGTTCTGGTTGCTCTTTTGAGAGAAGGGGAGAGCCTGGAGGATCTGATGAAACTCTCTCCTGAAGAACTCTTGCTGAGATGGGCTAATTATCACCTGGAAAATGCCGGCTGTGGCAAAATCAGCAACTTCAGTACTGACATCAAGGTAGGAAGAATGTTGTTTAAGTAATTGCAACAAGGACAGGAATTGGGGCAGGAATGAAGAAAACACAAATCCTGACCAGGGCACAGCTGAAGTTCTCTGAGTAGTTTGAGCACCACTGTGGCTGTTTTCCAGTAGCTCCCTGCTCGGGAGTCCTTTGCAATGCCGAAGCTGGCCTCTCACAGATCTGTCCAAGATCCTGGCAACTGTGCAGCTTCCAAGGGAGGTGAGTCTCCCTTGGAGTTTCAGTATTCAGAGGAAAGATGAGGGTGAGACAAAGAAAGGCAAGTAGAGAGAGATTATATTGCGTTTCTGATTTTATAAAGGGAATATTGAGAATTCTCTTGAAAAAATCAAATGAGGACTCTTCTAATTATACTAGTAACTAACAAACAAGATGTCTACTGCATGCTAGACACTGTTCTGACTGCTCTGTACAAGTTTTTGACTCCTTTAATAATCACGCAACAAATCGATGAGATACAAATTATTTTCTCATTTTACAGATAAGAAAACCGAAGAAAGAAAATTAAATAACTTGTTCAAGTTCATATAACTGGGGAGTGGGATCAAGTTATAAACCCAGCAGTCAGTCTCTGTGGCCCACATACTTTATCCCGTAACTGTACTGCCTCTCTCAAACAACTCAGGAAAGTTGCTACTTGAAAGTTTTCCATTTGTAGAAACCAGAGTAATGTTTACAAAGATAATGGTTCTAGAAAGCCCCTGCAAAGAGACTTTACCCCAGAGTATGTAGAAGATGCTTTCAGCCCTATTACAAAGATCCAGAAAGGAAAAGGCTGAGGGAAGCAGGTAATCTGGTTTTCAAGTTGAGGAACAGCTACTGATGTTGATGACAGGTGGAAGTTTAAGGAGCAGGAAGGGATGTCGGAAAGCAGTCCCTAGCAGATGATGTGGGGTGCTGGGAGGCAACATTTTGGTCTCCCTTTCTCAAGTTAATGAAATTTTCTGCAAAGAGGAAATCAGAGGAAAAGGTTACATGACACCAATAGCCAACCAAGGCTTCTATATTTCTTAGAGTGACAGCTTCCCCTGATTGGAACTCAATGGCCTTTAGACCCAGGGCCAACTAAAATGAATGAAGCGTCTAGATGGAAAGTCCCTCTGTTTTTAGGACCTACATAATAATGTCAGATTCCTTTTCTAACTACAAAGCTTTCTTTTGTTTGAAACATTCTTCCATCACCACTGGCCAAACCAGGGTTTAATAGGACAGGGTGGCATTATGTGCCTCTGTGCAGAACAATTTCTCTGTAATTATCTCAGTCAAAATTTTCAAACTTTTCAGCTACAGTTAGGCTGCTTGACCTGAACCACTTTACTTAATTTTCCTTCACTAAATGGCAGTGTTCTGCAGGATAACAACCATTTGGCTCAGGCAGTATCTGTATGTGATCAGCACGCCCAGCTGAGCACTGTTCCCAGAGAGCATCTGTCCCCCAGACAGGGCCAGAGATGGCAGAGGGGTGTCTGAACATCCAGCAATTTTGGGAAAGGTCTTTACATCACACACTGTGGGCAAAGGTGGGAGGATACCCATACTAGAGTGAGAAAGATGTAATAAATGACTCTTGGCACATTACGGTAGGCAGATGGTATTGGTGTCTAACACCTGCATGGAACTTGCACTGATTTAAAAATAGCTACAGTGAAAAGTTTGAAGAGGGAATAGTAGACAGAAAGGAGATGAAAATCATTTTCCCCGGGTGTAACATCAGTGACTGGGATCCTCTCTCTCATCTGTCTTAACATCACTAGCAGGGAGCTTACCTTTGCTCTCGCCAGGTGCTACCCAGTTGGAAAGCATAGAAATAGTTATTTTTCAGTCTTTAAGATAAAATGTGTTTAGTGACTTAAATAAATTAACTGAAAAATCTATATGCTTTCATTGAATGGGAATAAATTTATAATTTTAGGACTATAATTCTGAGAATTCTTTTTGTCATTAAGCATGTGTCCAAAATTAATTGTCTGTGTCCAATCTGCTATAAATAAATTTAAGCATTTGTCCTGGCTTGTAGGTGAACATTAAATGCACTTGTCATTGTAATATCTCTCCTTTTACATGGAGGCTGCTTGTTAATGCTTACACTTTCTGTCTTTGGAATCTTTTTCCTTTACTGATTGTCCGTTTGTTTGAATGTATTTTTAAACTCTGCTTTAAACTTCTGCTTCGTTTTTCTGTCACTTTTTTTTTTAATTAAACCTTAGCTGACTGACTTCTACAGCAATATAAAGGTATATATATATTTTCCTGTATACAATTTAATACATGTAAATAAATTTTCTCCCCTAAGGACAACCGAATAGCATTTGCTTCTTTGAGTTGCCTTTTGTGTATGTTTATGCTTTTGTTATACTGTACTCCTTTTGAAAAGAAAGGCAAATATAATTTGTAAACAGACAAGTAGAAAATTCAAATAAATGAATGTTTCCAGCTTTGTTAATTCGGTTGCACTCTTGAATGATAGTCAAATAAGAAATAAAAGTTTGCTTTTGAGAAACTGTGCTAGATGTGTGATTAAGTGTGCCATTTTTTAATTATAATTCTTTAATTTATCACAGGATTCAAAAGCATATTACCACCTGCTTGAACAGGTGGCTCCAAAAGGAGATGAAGAAGGTATTCCTGCCGTTGTTATTGACATGTCTGGCCTAAGGGTAAGACTATGTCCCTAGTTGTTTTTCAAGCTTGCAATGTTCCCTTCCCCTTGGCAGCTCTGTTTCTTGCAATGGCCCTGATTCTGGGGCCACATCAGTGGCATCATGGCGGAAGGCCCTGTTAAAACTGTGAAAAGCTGTTAGCAGTTTTGAGTAATAATAGTGGGAAATTGAATCTGGAAATAAACATTAAGTAAAAAGAAACTAATATTAATTACCACACACCATACTAGATACTCAAGTCTGTCAGTCATTTAATAGGCTCTACAACACCAAGTAGTGTTAGTATTTCCATTTCCAAGTATCTGAATATTATTTCTGGAAATGGATGGGATGTTTGCACAAGTAAATTCTCACTTTAGCAACAAAACCCCTACGATTTCTAAGGGATGATCATATGATAGATTGATGGCAGTTTTAGATTCAAGAATGGCTCCAAAATTCACAACCCTGCCTTACTACACTTTTGAGAGGGTAATGGGAAGAAAAACTGAGAAAGATCCAGAGTTCTCAAAAGTGTCTGGAGGATTTCTTAAAACAGCGGCACAACATACATTTGAATGTTAGAAGATCATTTTGCCTAGACTCCTGGCACTTCAATATTGATTGTGTGAATTTGCCTCATTTAATTTCATTAACATTAAGTACAGTGAGTCATTGTAAAAGCTAACTAAATCTCAATAAGAAGCAAAACACGTGAAACACTGTATAGTGTTATCTAATAAAGCATCATATTAAGAAGTACTTCCAGTTTGAAGTTTGATTTTCTGAAAATTCTTTTAAAGAGCTTTATGGACAGTGAACCATATTTTAATAAAACTATAGTCTTCTAATAAGAATCTGCTTATGGGTCCTGCCTGGTGGCGCAGAGAGTTAAAGTGCAGCACTAAGAATCTAAAGCCACTTCCGCATGAGATCTATTCCTGCCTGCCCCAGAGGTGACCCACATGGCATGGCAGACCTTTCCTGACCTGCCCGCTGCTCCCCTCAGCAGTGTATTTCGTCCATCTGCCTGTTCTGCAACCCACTCTGTCTCTGGTGAATCCTCTCACCCACCCTGTGCCTCTGGGCTGTACCCCAGTTCTGTATGCACAAATAAATAAATCTTTAAAAAAAATTTAAGAATCTGCTTATATATGACAGGAAATTGTCTAGAACTATTTTAGTAGGCCTTTAATATCTTTAGGCTGAAGTCTACAAAACCAAACTGATATATATTTACCAACAACAGTATGTATAGCTTGTGTTACTAGTCATATTTATTTTATTTGAGTTTCAGTAAAAACTCACTATGGCAAAGATAGTTGTAAAGGAATATAAATTTATAACTTATTAAATAAACATTTTTTGGTAAACAAAATCTCATGAAGTCTGTACCACAAAAAAATTACAATATAAGTTTAATCATTGAAAAGAATTAATATCAGTACAAACAATAACATTATAGAACCTACTGAATCTCTTTAAAAACGAGAACATTTGAAACGGTCCTGTATGGAAACCAAAGGACTCAATTAACTTCTAAGATTCTTTTTACTGTGATGTTTGATTTTGGTTCAGGTGAAGATAAGTAATAATTTGTTGCTGTTAAATATCTTAAGTGCCTGTCAAGCACTAAGGATTTTAGTAAGAGTCACAGTTCTTTTCATGTTGTATGTGCCTGCTTATGTCAGGGGAGAGCCCTGACCAGCCTGTCCTTTCTCATTGCAGGAGAAGGATGACATCCAGAGGGCAGAATGTATGTTGCAACAGGCGGAGAGGCTAGGTTGCCGGCAATTTGTCACAGCCACAGATGTTGTTCGAGGGAACCCCAAGTTGAACTTGGCTTTCATTGCCAACCTCTTTAACAGATACCCTGCCCTGCACAAACCAGAGAACCAGGACATCGACTGGGGGGCACTTGAAGGTATTGGAAAACAGTTGCTTTAGAGTTTGGGGAAATATTGTCAAGACTAGATGGAAGGAAAGTCAGAATCACCTCCCAGGCAAATGCAAACCCCCGCACCGGGGGAAAGATATGCAAGCAGGTCATCAATTCTCTGATACCTAACAAAGAGAATAAGTAGATTAATCAAGTCAATTACAGCCAAGCAGGAATAATCAAATACCATTCTATCCCCTCCATTATACATAGCTCCATCCATTATCAGAATTAAATGTTTTAGGGAAGACAGTGCATTTAATTATCAGATGAAATAAATTCTAAGTTCCAAAAACCTAATTTATGTACTTAATGTACTGAGTGTTAATTCCTAGAGGCAAAAAATTGCAGCCACTTATCATCTGTAAGAGATGTATAACTTAAGCTAGGAGGAGCTCACTGAGGTTTTTGTTTTGTTTTATTTCTTTGAATTATGGAAAGCACGGAAGCATATTTTGAGACAGAATCCATGACAGTTATATTTTGGGAGTTAATACCCCATGTTTGAATAAAAAGCATATAGCTTTAGTCAATTCCTAACTGATAAAAGCACCAAAGATGTTTACTTTTTTTTCCTTCCATCATCAACTACTCTCAATATTGGAATAGAAAAGTCAAGAGAAAATCAATATTAAATTAATATCAACAAAACAAGTAAATACAGATTTAAAGTATTGGTTGATCCTTTACTGCAATGTTTTCTCTAACTGGAAATGCAGGATCAATCCATTATCCAGCACTGCAACATTTGTATCATTTGATAAATCATGGTTAGGGATTCGTGGGCTTTGTTTACTATCTATCCTCTAATCACTCATTTCCAGCTGCCTCTAGAGTATCCCTTCTTGGATCCTTCACTGTTACTTGAAATTCAGCACATATAAAACAAAATTAATCATAATTTCTCTTCCTCCCATTGTCTTTCTACCCTACCCCCATACCATTAGCTGTCCCTTAGAAATTCTCCATTACCCATTTGCCTTGCCTCTTTTATGCTTCTGTCTCCAAAACTGAAAACCCTGGAGTCTACTTTAATATCTTCCTCTTCTTCACTCCTAAATCTATTGCATCATCGATTGCTAATATTTTTTCCTACAGAGTGACTTTTAGATTATTTTCCCTTTCTGCTCTTCTGGACTCTACGTCTCACACCAACTACTCCAATAGGTCTTATGGGCCTACTCCTCCATTCATCATGCATTGAATGTGCCCATATGCTATGTCAAACACTATCCCCTCCGTGTGCTCAATTGAAATGCATATTGCCTTCCAGTAATTCCACACACTGCTGCCAGATACATCATAGCACTGCTTTCATTAGATCTCTGCCTTGCTCAAGAATTTATGATAGCAATAAAAAAAAAAAGAACCCATAATGACTGACACTGTCTAATATATTAAGAAAAATCTGCCACTTGACATTTATAAGAACCCTGATTCTGGTTCCAGCCACCGGACTGCCTACCTCTATGGACTGTACAACATGGATTCCTGAAAATCCATTCCTAATGGTTTTAAAACAGACCATGCCTATCCCTCACTGTAGTTTCATATTTGTTTGCTCTAGCGTCAGCTCCTTATAAGCACCTCCCTGCCCTCTTCTACTCTTTCCTTTTCACTATCAGATTTTAGAAGCTCTTAAGGTGATGTCCACGTTCCACTCCCTCCAAATTTATGCCCATACTATCCTTTCCCCTTTTCAACTCTAATTGCAAATATATCTGCCTCATATGTTAGCCCTAAAGCCTCATGAGTTCTCTTCAGTAACTGAAGTCTTGTTTTTCCAGAAGGAATGTTAGCCTTTGAGATCCAATTCTGGTCTGTAAGATTTCCCTGCATAGGATCCTGCATACTACTAACAGATAGTTGATTTGAAATGGAAAAAATAACTAGCACAGGATAGCAACTCTCATCTGAATTCATTATATGGTTTTTAAATTTTGTCATTCTGCCTTCAATTGTTATTCACCCTCTCTAGTTTGATCATAGGAAAGCATGTTTTCTAAAGGCCTGAAAGGTAACCGGTCTTCATTAATTTAGGTGAGACGAGAGAAGAGCGGACATTTAGGAACTGGATGAACTCCTTGGGCATTAACCCTCGAGTCAATCATTTGTACAGGTAATAGTATCTGGGGACTCCTGAAGGTGAGCCACTGACACTGTGAAGTTCCTCAAGATTTTAAATACCACAGTGGTGTGCAATTGTTCCATGATGAGAAACTGCAGATGCTGGATATTCAGCTGGGAAATCCACTTTGATACATTAACCTTGTGTGCTTGGCACCAAATCCTAATTTCAGTAAAAGAACAACTGCATTACATTTGTGAGGTGATGATGTCACAGCAGGCAAAGCAGTAAATGTGGTTAAGTGCCTCCTCTACCACTGGCAAGAGCTGTATCTCCTTTCCTGGAGGCAGTTATGTGTTGGTTGCAGAAACAAGGTAGTCACACCCTGGGGGACACCTTAAGTTCCCCTAATGTTTAAGTCAGAGCTTCTGTATAAGAGGAATGCCTCATACCAGTGTTGTGAACACCCCTTGTGCTAATTAATATGAAAGGGAGGGCCTTACTCCACTTTAGGACCTTAATAAATGATGTCTGAGAATCCTTTTTTGTTTGTTTTGTTCAGTGACTTATCAGATGCCCTAGTCATCTTCCAGCTCTATGAAAAGATTAAAGTCCCTGTTGACTGGAACAGAGTGAACAAACCACCATACCCCAAATTGGGGGGCAATATGAAGAAGGTAAAAACAGTGACTCTTCTGATGTTCTACTAGGCAGGTGAAGTCACAAGGCTGTGAGGGGGCCCTGGGAACACCTGCCAGGAGGCCACTTAGACAAGTAATTTTTATCCAGGGATTAAATTATTGTACAGCAGTCAGAAACTGGAATGGTTTTATTAAAGTGAGTTCATTATTTCAGTTGATTACTTATTTATAATTCCATGCTGGGTGTCTTCAAACATTATGATGTAAAAATTCTAATTAAGATAATTAGAGCAAGCAGAGCTTCAGGATTGCTTTCCCCCAGCAGGATCCTCATTCTAATTTTCTAAAGACGTGGGGCTCTATACTGACAGTCAGACTTGTACAAATAATTTGTCTTCTTCAACACAGGGGGAACACGCTGTTCTTAAAAAAACAGCAATGGGATTTGTACAAATATTTCTCATTCCTGTGACTTTTTTTTTTTTTTTGATCAACTATGATCAGGTGCTATTTTTATTTATTTATTTACTTACTGGGCTGGAAGGGATTATGCTCAGCAAAACAAACCAAAAAGAAAAAGAAAAATACTGGATGGCCTCACTTATAGGAGGAATGTAGAGAAAAACAAATAAAGAATCAGAAAAAAAAAAAGTAACTCTAATAAAGTAAAAATTCCTGTGACTCTTAATGATCTACACAGGATTATCTGTCCCACGTGTCTGTCCACCAGCTGCAGACAGGATGGAGAGTCCATATTCTCTATGTCCATCTCCACAGATTCAGCAATTTGGGGGCTATTTGGACAGGAAACTACCTGTCTAAAGCATGGCTCTCTGTTAACGTAGTGTGATAGAGCCATAAAAATGTTCATAATAATAAGTTCATTTATGTTTTGGACTCAGATACTCTATAAATATTTTTTTAGTGAAAGTGAGAGGTCCTTTTAAGAAAAGATAGAAAATTATTTGACCGTTTCTGGTCCTATAATCGAAGAACCAGATGAGAATTGAGAGATCATTCTATCCTACCATGTTTACATATTTTGTGTATTTATTTTAACTGTCTTATTTTAGCTGTTATTTGTCACCATGGAGACAATAATAATTAAGATTGTTTTCCTTCTGCTTATTAACAGCTTGAGAATTGTAACTATGCAGTGGAATTGGGGAAGAATCAAGCTAAATTTTCTCTGGTGGGCATTGGTGGACAAGATCTCAATGAAGGAAACCGCACTCTAACTTTGGCCTTGATTTGGCAGTTAATGAGAAGGTAAAGCAAATCAGGAATTGCTTCTTATTAAATGTAAATAATACATTTAATAATAGAATAGATGCCAGCAAATTTTCAGGAATGTGATTCAACCAAGTAAAAGTATATTTAAGCTAAATTTAAAACCAAAGTACTTTTCTTTCCTATAGTTTTTTTTTTCCTTTCAGTTTTATAAGCTTTGTTTCAGGTATGAAGCTATGCTAATAGGTTCATAAATAATATCATTTTGTCCTTATGATGAATGACCCCTTTTTCATTATGGAGTGGCTCCTCTTGCTTAGTAATATTCTTTTCTCTGAAATCTACATTTTCTGACATTAATATTGCTATTTCACCTTGATTCTCTGGATTAGTGTTAGCATGTGTATTTTTCCATCCTTTTATTTTTAATTCATTTGTGTAGATAGCAATTATCTTTTAAAGGGATCTATCAAATAAGGTGGAAGATCATTTATCTAGATAGTGTCCATTTCTAATGCTCATCTTTCCAGGATGGAAATCCAAATTTCTACTTGAAAAATTTCTAATAATGCAGATCTGCTGGCAAGGAGTTACTTCAGCATCTTTATATCTGAAAAAGTACTTCATTTAAAATTTTGAAAGATAATTTCTCTGAGTGTAGAATTTTAAGTGGGTAGTTTTTTTCTTTCAATATTTTAAAGGTAGTGTTTACATTGTTTTTAATTAACTATTGTCATTTCTTTTTTAAGAAGACAGACATTTGTTTCTCCATCATGAAAGTCCAGGGCTGGGGTGATGACTCAGCTCTCGAAAGTCCTCAGAAATTAGAAAGTCCTCAGCTCCATGGCTCATCTGTCATGGCTAATGATGAGTCTCAGACACATGGGCAGATTGGCTATTGCCATTCTTACCTGTTTCCATCTGTATGTGTCCTCTTTCCTGACTTCAAGAATTTCTCTTCTCACTACTTTCATGCAATTCTATTATGATGTGTTTTGGTGTTCCTCATTCTTGAGGTTTATTGAGCTTCTTGGATGTATGCTTCATTCAAGAATTTGAGGGAAAGTTTGGGGATAGAGATTGGCCTTTATTTCTTCAAATATGTCTCCTGTACCCATCAACTCCAATTTGGGGGAACTGCACAGGTGCACACTTATTTACTCATCTGAAGTTGTTCCAGGGTTCATCGATGCTCCATTATTTTTTCTCCTCTGTCTCCTTTTTTGCTCTCTCACTTTTATATTGGATAATTTCCATTGCTTTGTCTTTATATTCACTGAATTCTTCTTCTCCAATGACTAAGTTTACATTAGTTATATATAATATGAACTTTTTAAACTCAGAATTTATAGTTTTCATATGTACATACTTGATTTGGACCTTTTGGCATTCCCCATATCTCTCTTCTCTGGCTATAGGGTATATAAAGGTAATTCTGTAATTTTCAGGTCTGTTCCCATTAATTGATTTTGAGCCTCATCTTGGATCATACTTTCTGCTTTTTTATGTCCTTACTAATTTTTTTATTGTATATTAGGCACTAAATTTTACTTTGCTGTGTGCTGGACATATCTTTATTCATTAAATACTCTTTTTTTTTTCCTGAGGTGCAGTTTAGTTTTTCACACAGTTTGATCCTTTTGAGACTTGCTTCAAGCTTAATTAAGTCTAGCTAATTTTCTCAATGCTGCGATAATCTCTTTTGAGTACTTTGCTTGATACTCCATGTGTTCTAAGGGTTCTTTTCCCCTCCACTTGGTGGGACCCAAATTATTTCCACTCCTGAGTGATCTCCAAAGATAGTTCTGCAAGTCCATTTTTAATAGTCCTCTTCCAGCCCCTAATAGCTTCCCTGCAGGCACTAAACAGTGCTAAGCTAAAAACTTGATGCAAGCCCTCTGAAGCTCTCTAAGGCTTTTTTCTAGATGATGGTCTTCTCCAGCAGGTACCTTTTCTCTTGCATGCTGCCCTGCAAATTCCGAGTACCTTCTCTTTTCTTGAGTTCTCAACTCTGTCCTCTCAACTCAGGGGAACTACCTGGCTCGCCATGGCTTCTCTATCCCTGCAGCCTGGAAACTCTCCATGCAGTGTTTTAGGACCACCTTAAGGCTTACCACTTTCATTTTCCTTCTTTCAGGGACCACTGTTTTAAACAACCTATAGTCTGAACACTGTTTTATGTGTTTTCCATCATTTTCTAGGTGTTTAAGGCAGAAGCTAGACTTGGTCCCTTTTCTCCATTATGGCTGAAGCAGAATTTCCTGATAGCTCTTTAGGAAAAAGCCTTAAGTACCTTTTAGACATACAAGTTAATATGAACATACATTTGATTAATATGAAGATAAATGTGGCAAAATTAGTTAAATAGCAATATACAAGTAGAAGGTAAATTGTATGAAAGTAAATAATTCTTGGTACAAAAGCATGAACCTGGGAAGAATTTTAGACCACAAATCTGACTACACCCTCTTCCCCCCTATACTGGTTGTTCTGACTAGGCAGAAGGCTTACATCCTTTAATTAGAATCTGTGTTAGTGTGACTTAATTTACTTTCTGACCTGGAAAGAAGCCCAGAAATCATATATCACATTACATTATCTTACAGGGTTGGCAAAGGCAAGGCTTGTGGTGTCCCTGGGCACTTGGGCATATTCCCAAGCAACTCTCCTAATATTCATAATGGTGCTCCAAGTAATTGTCAATATTTCTAGGTGGTGTAGGCTAATCAAAAGTGATCATAACAGATTTCATTAGACTTTACTGATTCACATACACTTTCCTCAGTATAACTCCCAACTACCCATTTCTAAACTGGTGTCTCCTCACTGAGTGCAGGCATTAGGTACCTCTAGCATAGAAAACTCAAGAGCTAAAACTCTTCAACTTTCCCTTACATTTTACTGCAAATATCTAGAACATTCCTGAAAGTACCTATGGGCCATTCTCATCAGTGTATTTTCAGAAGCAATATCTGAGTTAGTCTTTATTATCTTCCATGTATTTTTAATTCTCCGCAGATTGGTTTGGGGTGCTCATTGCTTCAAGACCAAAGCAAAAGTCTTTTTAGTTGTAGTGATTAAGTGAAATCATAGGTTTGAATATGAAATGATCTTTGATATTTTCTGCTTTAATGAAATAAAGCAAAAAACTCAGGCCAATACTATTCTGTTCTGAATTTCATAAAATCTGAAAATCACCTTATAATGATCTTTGTTCTGGAAATTTTATAAAATGTGGCTCATAGTCCTGCTTTATGGCAGGTAGATACACAGTAAGGTCTACCTGCTGCTGCTGTCTCCACTTGGTTATAAGCCATATTTCCCACAGTTTTACTCTCCAAGAATTGTGCATATAAGTGGACAGCAAAATACATTACTGTTGAAGGAGATGAGGTGACAGGTAGTTTTGTAAATGCTCCCAGAAGGACTTTTTTTCCCTTCTGTGTGCTGCACATTAACAAATCTATAAATCTAAAGCCATTTCTACCAGGAATTTGTTTTATTGGATTCCACAGATGTGCTAATTTGGTTTTTTATCTGGGTAATAAATGGCATGTCATTCTTCTCCCCAGAACAAATGAGATGTGTGTACTTAAACCTTCCTTTTTTCTTCAGTAGCCTGGAACTCATTCTCAGATTAGGAAGCTGGCAAACTGCGTATGTGTGAACTTGGAGACAAAGGGCTGAAACAAACAGGCCACCAGCAGATAGCAACCATAGTTAGACTCTGAGAAAGGAACAAAGAGTGAGGCAGGCAAGTAAGGGAATTCTCCTGAAAACAAACAGCGTGTGGACATCACTGGGTTTGCCCCTCCAGGTCAAATGTTAAATAAATAAAACAGTGTCAGAAGACAGGAAGGCCAGCAAGTAAGAATCCTGGGCTGTGAGCACCACAACCACACACATCATCATCCTCTGGTTGAGACACTGGCTACGCTGGGGCTCTTGCATTCAAGTCCCTCTCCTTTTCACAGAGGACTTTTCAGCACAGTGCATTTTTCAAACACTAGTGATACTGGGGTTTTATCTGGAGGGTTTCATTTAATAATAGTAAAGTCACCCCGAAAAATGTTTAGTAGTAGGAGTCACTATCTCAAAAGACGTCCTTGACAGACACAAGTCATATTCCTGTTTTTAAATTTTTTTGTTTTTTAAAAAAAGTTTATTTATGCATACAGAGCAGGGGTACAGACCAGAGGTGAGTGAGAGGATTCACTAGAGACAGAGTGGGGAGCAGAACAGGCAGATGTACTGAAGTACACTGCTGAGGGGAGCAGCGGGTATGTCAGGAGAGGTCTGCCACTCCAGGGTCACCTCCCTGGCCGGGGATGGAACTCATGCTGCAGTGGCTGTGGTAACTTCATAGTGCTGTGCTTTAACCCATTGTGCCACCAGGGAAGGCCCTGTTTTAACTTTTCAAACTACATTTAGTGCTCAGTGGACTACCAAGATTTGAGAGTCTGGCTAATTCTGTCTTTTCTTCTCTTTATTTTTACTGTTGTACCTGATTCCTTTTAAATCTCTGAATCAATCTTGAGATGCCAAAAAGAAAACTTTGTGTTCACAGAACTCTGTGCCATGCTGTTACAATAAAGGCTTCAGGGAGGTCAGTGAGCTGCCTCCATGACTTTCTGCATTTTTGTCTCCCTGCTCCTTTGTGGCTTTTTAATTTTCACACTAGACTTTGTGTAAAGGTGAAGTGTCTCCTCTGTGCCATTCCCTTCCCTAACTCAAGAAGTGTATTTAGAGCACAGTTTTTGTTCATCTGGGAGTTATCAGCAAAACAGGCTTGTATTCATGGCGAAAGGCAGTAACAATTCAGTCCTGAGGTGTGTGAAGCTGCTAAACTGAATTTAGTTTGTTTTTATCAGGTTATATATAGACAGGACCCACTGGAACGTCATTAGGTATTGTTTCTTGTAAGAAATTCTTAAATGTTATAAAAAATGCTAATAACTTAGTACATATGCAAATACCAGCAAACAGGAAGCCAGTTATGCCACAAAATCTCCTGATTATGATTAGATCAAGACTAGGGCCTGTTTCCAAAGTCGGACTATTTTAAAAACCTTCCTGGGACATATCCCACTTGTGCTCCTTCTTCCTTAACATTTCAGTCCCACCACTGAGCCCAGACAAGGCATCTCTCACTTCTACTTTCTCCTTGCTTTTTCTGGGAGAAATTCTATTTCTTTGATCCACCACTATAGTTTTCCATGTGCTAGATGCCTACGCACCTGCTAACCCCAGAAAACACCATGATGAACTGGGTGTGTGGACTGAACTGAGGGAACATCGTGGCCAGATGCACATCAGCTCTATCAAAAATTCAAGGAAACAGGCTAGAAGCAAGTAAACAATAATGATTAACATGAGAAAAATGATGCTTGAGCTGGGAATTGTTCAAAGGCTTATCAAAGGCTTAGACATTCAGTACAGAGGTCGGGTGTCCCAGGCAGAGAGCACAGCAGTCACAGAGGAGGAGGCTGTGCAGTGTGGACAAAGAGCTGCTGATGGTTCTGTCCCATTGAGATATGAGCATGTGTGTCCATGAGGGGCATGAGGTTAAGTCCCAGAAGAAGGGAGTGAAGGAGGAAATCAGTGGTATACTGAATGGGACATTAGAACTAAATTGTGAGCATCTTAAGTCACCTGACCTGTATTCTTTGGACCAAGTAGAGTCACTTTAAACAACACAACCAAGACTGTAATTCAAGGAGGTAAATTCTGTGAAGATGAGAGGCACAATGTAGAAGACCCTTATTAATAGGATATTTGGAGGGGTGTAGTTGGGAGAATTTTGATGCCAGATTGATAAATATCGATCATCCTCATTATTTTGATAAAGAAAAGTTGCAGAAGTCATTTTTCTCATCTGCACTGATACAGAAGTGCTTTAACCTAGTGAGAGAAAGGCAGCTCTCTCCCTCCTATTTTGGGGATTAAACTTGAAAACTGTGTGGGAAGTTGTGTCTCAATTGTTTTTTCCAGAGAAGTAACTAGAGGAAGTCACCAAAGGGTTATGTAAGCAAAATCCTAGGTAGGTCCTGGGAGAGGGATTTGCTGGGGGATACTTGGGTAGTAGTGTGTGAACAGTGGACACTGTAACCCAAACCCTCTGAGTTGCTCTTGGGTAACCTGACCCTGCCCTGCAAGCCCAGGGCCCAAGGCCAGCAAACATGCCCAGACCCGTGGCTTTCTTGTCTGTATATTTGAAGGAAGTAGCTCTAGGGAGTGGGAGTGTATTCTCTGCTCTCTGGACTTTAAAGAGCTTAAAGTCTCCTTCAACTTAATAAACGTTTCCCTAGCAAGCCCAATATTCCTAACAGTGTGTAGCTAAGACGATTTACACTCATACTAGAGCTTAACTTTGGTTAATGTACCTAACATTTCTACTTATATACAAAGGAAATTCTTCCATTTGTCCTGTATTATGTTGACTACTGGGACATTTCTTTGTATTGTGCCTTAACGTTTATGGTTCCTTTAAGAAAAAGCATCTCTCATTGGAATCCTTTGCTTCCTTTTCTTCTCTTTTGCTTTTTCTTCCTACTGAGACCAATAGCAATACTTAGAAGAAGGTGTTAGTTATGCATTTCACTCTAATAACCTTAACATTACATTTTAAGGGCCCTCCCTGGTGGCACAGTGGGTTAAAACACAGCACTACGAGGCTAGCAGCTGGCCACAGCCACTTCAGCACAAGTTCATTCCCCACCAGGGAGCTGACCCACATGGTACAGCAGACTTGTCCTGTCTCGCCCGCTGCTCCCCTCAGCAGTGTCCTTCATCGATCTGCCTATTCTATTCCCCACTCTGTCTCTGGTGAATCCTCTCACCACCTTGCACCTCTGACCTGTACTCCAGTTCTGTATTCATGAATGAATAAATCTTTTTTTTAAAAAGTTACATATTAAGTTATTCCAGACAAAACTAATTGGTGTTATGTATTCTCTTTTCCTCAAGCATAATGCTGTCCAAACTGTCTTCTGTGATATACCTAGAAAGAAAACATTTCTAACATGGTTACTTTCTGAAGTGAATTGAATTCAATTACTCTCTTGAATTCTTTAGCAACTTTTTCTCTAGATACTATTCTTGATTTTTTTTCAGGTACACGCTGAATATTCTTGAAGAAATTGGAGGTGGACAAAAGGTCAATGATGACATTATTGTCAACTGGGTAAATGAAACATTGAAAGAAGCTGGAAAAAGTTCATCCATCTCAAGTTTCAAGGTAAAATTCTTAAACTGCTTGTCCCCACCAGAATTTTATTCTTATCTTTACATTTTCACTCTATTTTTAAGTGACCTTTCATGTGATATACTGAGATTTCCCACCCACCTTGATTTTGTCTAAGTGACCCATTATTGCTTTGATGTTTACAGGTCATTTCATTGACAAATTTCTTCACTATCTCTTGAAATAATTTAAAACACCCATCACTTTTCACACATCATTTTAGGTATTGTTTTTTCAAAATAACATGAATTGTAATATTTTTAAATATGCAGACCCTGGGATTCAGATTCTTAATGGAAAATAGTGAAATGTAAAATGCTAAAAGATCTCTAGTGTTTATTGAGAAAAAGCAGTTGAGTACTTATAAACAAATACAGTTTTTGTGAATAGCAGCATTTGATTTTATTAAATTTCTTAACACATGTTTCAAACATTGTATGGCTCTTTCCTCAAGGTAGCAGTGCACTTGTCCATAGTGTAATATCTGTGCTTACTTAACTACATTTTTCTGGTTTAAAGTTCAACACTGTGTGGGTGGGAGAGACACCGTTAAAACTGTATTAGCAGGCTCAGTGAAGCAGTTCTGCATGAAATCAATTCATTGCCTCAAAATCAGGGGAGGAAACTAAAAGCCCTCCTCAGCCAGAAAGTGCACAAGGCATCTTGGGGTCATCTGCCTGGAAGTTCAGGCCCTTGGGAGCTCATCATTGATCACAGCCTCGTCTGTCCCCTCCAGCTTATCTTGCAGTCTGAATGGTGAGGAGTAGCTAAGCAGGGGAGGAGAGGGGGCTGGTGAAAGCTCTGAGCAACTACTTTCAGAAATATTAGGAAAAGCTGTGAAGGGTTCTCAGTATTGAACACTCTCTGAGTACCATCTTATTTGTAATGTCTGATTTTACCTTCACAGACATTGTGAAGTCGGTTTTGCTGTTTTCCTCCTTTTATAGGTGAGGCAGCTGGAGCTCAAGTAACTCCTGCCGTTACAACTGCAGGTGATGGTCCATCAGTGAAGGGAGAGCGCCTTTTATCTGCAGGGTGAGGCTGTAGGCAGTGTATCCATTCAAAGCGTAACCATGACTACGGTGACAGGTCAGCTAGCCCAAGCCCAGGGTTTATCTCTAAAATAGCAGCCACTGTGGTCCATATTGTCACCCCTCATCTTCTGGACTCTTTTCATGGGGACTAGTTCGTGAGAATGTTTGACAATTCTTTTACCTACTGTGATATTCTGGGCCAATTTTCTCCTTCTCATAATGGATATCATGGACTCCATTAAAGAAAAATAATCACAAAAATAAAATGTCAGATTTAGCCTGACCTTCATTTAGAATGAAATCTTAATTCACTGTTGGTTACCACTTTGAAAATAATCTGTTCCTTACTCATCTGTGGTCAGGCACCACTTGCCAGTCATTTTCCCTGCTTGTTGGTACCTTCATAAAACTGTGGCAGAAACAGGGAAAGGAGACAGAAATCTAATCTCCGCATTTTGTTTTTCTGTGCTTCACCAAAAGTTTTGTGAAGATAGAAGCTCAGGATTGTGGTAAAAATTAGATTTTAATTATAAAGTGGATTTTAATACTGTAGTTCTTAACATGACGCAGAAGTAAATAAAAATCCACTCGTTATATAATCTTAAATATTATTCTTCCGACCCAGAGTACCAATGTTAGAGACCTAGCATTTTGCATTTCTTGCTTAATATTGAATCTTATTTGAACCCTTAAAGTACAGGGTGTAGGCTGGTGGCCGACAGTTGCCTCTCCATTTCCACAGTCACAAGTCCCAGGAGAGGAGAACAGCAGGCACAGAGCTCAGTGCTGTCACACCGCAGGAGCATTCGTAGCTCTCGGTATGAACATCAAAATGTTTACCAATGCCAAAGAAAGAGCCTAGAGTTTTAAGAGTACGAGGGTTCAAATCCCCACTCCATCACTTTACCAGCAAGTCCCTTAACCTCAGAAATTCTGACCCAATATAAGTAAGATGCCTGCATCTGAGGAGTGGTGACAAGTGAGACAACCTAGGAGAAAGTGCCAGGCAAAGTGGGAGGCCCGACAGGGCCTCGTTGCTGACACTGCACTTAGCCACATAATTGGCTTCACCATCTCTGTGAGCTTGTGGGTTCTTTTCTTTACCTGAAGTTTCTAAGATAGGAGCTCCTCAGTCAAAGCATCTGTCCAGCTGAGCCCTCACTACTAAGCTTGCCTATCCCTTGGAGGACCCCCCCACAGCCACACAAAGCAAGGTTTCTTGCCAGTTTTAGTCTCTGCTAAACAGACTTTGCTGATTGTTTCCTTTCAAATCACCCTTCTCTACTATGTTATGAGCAGGTAAGTTAGGCACATTATATTTCAATTCTCTGCTTTCCTCTAGCGGCATTAACTTCCTTCCATTCCCTATTTGAGGGTGACCCCTGCCTGTTGGTAGACAGTGGATCTTCTGTGTCCAGTGAGTCACCAGGAAGTTAGTGATGCTCCTGTAGAAACTACAGAGGATGTGGGACATGGTGGCACCTCTCAAGCCAGGCTCTAGCTGTTCATTTTTAAGATAAAATGACCTTGAGTTGAACAGAAATAACTTGGGGCCTGTTGACAAACCCTCCCTTTCTCTCTCCACAGGATCCAAAGATTAGCACAAGTCTGCCAGTCCTGGATCTCATTGATGCCATTCAGCCAGGTTCCATTAACTATGACCTTTTGAAGACAGAAAGCCTGAATGATGAAGAGAAACTCAACAATGCAAAGTATGCAACTGAGCATGAGGTCAGGGAGGGAGGGACCCAACTGGCAGCTTCAGGACTGTACAGGCTACCCTTCATACCTTTGTGCAAAGAGTTTCCTCTTACTATTAATGCTTTCTCTTCTCACTGTGGCTTTTTCTCATTTAGATATCACACAATAGCTGTTTAAGTCTCCTAGTGTTAGAATGAGAACAGGGCAAAAAACAAGAGTATACTTGCAGTTTATTAACATAATATCGAAAAGACTTTATTCCTGTCTAAATACAAACACGCCATATACAAACACGCCATTTGAATATTCATGAATATGAGTGGGCAGAGGTGGGGTTCCAGACCACAGTCTGCCCTTGCCTGACGGCAGCTGACATTTGCTTGACTATATAGCATGAGGGTCAGCGGACTGTAGACAAGATGTGAGCCACGTTGACCTTTTGTGTGCTTTTATAAATTTTTATTGGAACACAGTTATGCCCATTCATTAAAACATTTTCTCGGTTCATGTGTATATCCTTTCTACATAAATATTCCTATTAGAATATAGCTTCTGTAATTGTTTCCCTGCTACAAGAGCAGAGTTGTGACAATACCCACAAAAATCTGAAATACTACTCTCTGGTCCCTTACAGAAAGTTTGCCAACCTCTACCCCAGAGAGGTGACTTTCTCAGAGTGGGACACATTGGCTTCCTAAGGCTGCCATAAAAAAATACTAGGAGCAGAGCAGCTTAAAGCCACAGGATTTTATCCTCTCGTGGTTATGAAGGCTGCATGCCTGAAATCAAGGTTGGTCCCTTTAAGGGCTACGAGAGAGAATCTATCCCACATCTCTCCCCTACCTCCTGGCAAGGCCGGCAGTCCTCACTTATGGATGCATCACCCAGTCTCTATCCCTGTTCATGCAGCTTCTCCCTGTGTGTCTGTGATGTCACGTGACTGGCTTTCCTATTCACATGTTTGTTTCTTCTATTCTTATAAGGATGCCAGACACACTACTCCTGCATGACCTCATCATAACTGGTGGCTTCTGAAATAACCTTGTTTGTAAATATATTTTCTATCTGAGGGAGTCAGACTTCCAAATATCTTTTTAAAGTGACACACTTCAACCCGTCACACACAATTGGCAGGTGACTGGTGCCCTGCTCTCTAGGTAATAGCAGCAGTGTTCTCTCTGTTCCCAGTTTGGGGGAGTGAACACCTGTGTTCCTGGTTTTCAGATGCTTAGCTCAACCTCTTGAAGAAAAGATAGGCAATTAAATGGCGATTTTAATAGAGTACGATGGGGGTGACATGGAAAGGGGGATACAGGGTGCTGTGGAGAGGATTGGAAAGGAACTGAAGCCCTCCAGAGCAAGCGACCTCTAAGCAGAGAGAGATGCAAGACCAAGTACAAAGGAGGTAGGCAGGAGGAGGAGGCGGAAGCGTGCTCTAGGCAGAAGGAAGAGTGGTAAAGAGACCAGCAAATTAAATTAAAAAGAAAAGAAAAAAGACCTTGAAAAGGCCTTGAGGGTAGATGGTTAAGAGGGATGTGATTAGGTTGAAGCAGACTGCCCAAGGTCCTAGTGATTGAGCTAAGAATCAAAGCCTGACCTCAGAGCCCAGGCCTATAAGCACTATCTTGTAAGGGAAAGATAGAAAATTCCTTAGAAAAATGGTTGAAAGAAATTCTATTAAATGCTAAAAATAGTTATGTCATGGTGGCAAGGTTGTACATGACTTTTTAAGCTCTCTCTGCTCATTTTGTAGCAATTTTTTTTCTCATTTTTTACAACAGAAGAGTTAAGTTTATTTCCTTAGTAAGTACACAAAGGAAGCGACTGAAACATAGACAAGGAGAAAGAATATGGACTGTTCCTGCCTGGGGTGTGGACTTTAATTTGATCAGTAAAGTAAGAGCAAGATTATTTTAGGAGATCAGAAGGAGTAATGGGAGCTCTGGTGACAGGGGGAATCCCTGAACTAGTCACTATCAGAGGTTACTAGAAAACAGATGAGGTCAATAAAAGATCTGCCAGGTGATACTGTGGGTTTATTTGAAAATAGATAACAGCTAATAAAATTACAGACCTGGAACTATAAATAGAGCAAAAATGTTCTGATGCAACTATGGTAACTTTATATGACAAATGTATAATATAAAACTCTGGCTATTCTAATACTGTAGTAACATAAATACACATTTATGTGCACAAGGATTGGAATGGGGCAAGGCATAAAAGAACTAATGTATAAGGCCAAGGTAGTCAGATGCATTTCACCTTTTTCTCTCCCTCACAAAAATGTTTCTATACAGTCTGCAGCCTTTCCCAGCACAAATTTTCATTCAGTTCTGTGGCTCTTTCTATGTAGCTATAGCTAAGGAAAAACAGTCATGGGTCAAAAGTGGCAGGAGCAAGAAAGGTCTCTGAGCACAAATAATAAATTGGTGATTGTCATGAGATTTGATGGTAAGTCTAGTAGAACCACCATTCACTGCTAAGAATGGAAGGATGCCCCTGACTGGCTCCAGCTATCCCGCGAGTGGGCTCTGTGTAGTATTTAGTGTGGGATGTGTATTGTGTGTATGCAGCATGTACTATTGCATGCAGTCCTCATGTGTGGTTTGACTCTAGCATGTGGTGTGGTATGTAGCGTGGAGGGTCTAGTGTGCGTGGAGGGGACAGTGTGTAGTATATATTGTGTAGGACCCTGCGACAGTGGCCCTGAGGGTTCCCTTCCTACTTGGTTGCTGGGTTCCCCTCATTGTTCCTATTTTCTCCTTTTAGGTATGCCATCTCTATGGCCCGAAAAATTGGAGCAAGAGTTTATGCCCTTCCAGAAGACCTGGTTGAAGTGAACCCCAAAATGGTCATGACTGTGTTTGCCTGCCTGATGGGGAAAGGGATGAAGAGGGTGTAAGGCCAGTGGGTAGGCTATAGATGGCACTGTCCTTCCTCTGCTCAGCACAGGATACCAACAGGAGACACGAGAAGATGCCAGCAGTTCCAAACTTCTAACTTGATGGCATTATATAAAATTCCAAAAAGGGTATATTTGTTCAGTCAGGTGGCCTCTCTTGTTCGTAACAAAAAGTGCTTCAATCTTTGCAAAATATGCAGTTTCTTACAATTTTTTTATTGTTGAATTTACTGCTTCTTAGAATTTGTTTTCCAGGTGCCCTTTCTTGCTTTTGCCATAGAAGCTACCGTGTTAATTAATTTTACCATAACCTTTAAAACCAGTTTAACTTGATTTGGCTGCCTTTTTGTCCAAGGCAAGCACCAGCTACGAGAATCATCACACTCGTCCACTAGTCCGAAAGCCTGTCTCTAGAAGCCAATATTTGTTGTTTACTAGACTTCCTAACCCCTTTCCTCTTATACCCTGTCTCCCTGTGACTTTGTTCTTGATCTGATCAGAACTGCCTTAGACCACCTTTGCTGGCCCCTCCTCATCTCTGGGCCATTTGGAGCATCTAACAGATCTGTCAAGCTAGAGACACTGTAACTTGCTAAAACAACCATCAGAGCCTTTCCTCAGAACTAGAACCCCAAATACCCATTTCTGAGCGTTTTTTCTGGCCCGTTTCATGCCGTTTTCAACCCTAGAATTGCGTTCAGATCAGAATGAGCATCTTTGAATATTGTGCCTTAGGTAGCAGTGAGCCACTAGGGGGCGGCTTGGAACCGCAAAGAAGCGTCTTTCCGGTGGCGCACTGCCTTTCCATGTTTTAGTGCTGTTAGATCTAGTGATGGTGCGGCTAAGCAATCTTGCTCCTTTTTATTTGTTCTTACATAGTCATCTGATTGCTACGAGACCACGTTACCAATGATCACTTTTTTTTGGTACTGTAGAAGCTTTTTGTCACCCCCAACCTGTCAGGGGGCAATCTGTGCCAATGAAGAGTACCCTCTACCCTTTCTGTCCTCGCTACATTCTCTCGCGTGCAGAGAAATGGGCCAGGCATCAAACTGGCTAAGAGTTGGTTGAGTTACATTACAAATATTTAATTTATTGGATAGTTAAAGAATTCAAACAAATCCAATGAAACAGTGTGAAACTCTTCACATGGTAGTACATCAGTAAGGAATCTTCTGTAGGAGAAGTATTTAATGGGAATTTGCCGGGTTTTTTGAAGCCATTAAAATGCCTCTTCCTGAATATATTCCTTGGCAGTAGGCTCAGAGAGCCGGTATATGACCCATAACCTGGATTTCTGCTGCATGAGAATGTAAGTTGGTTGGCTTTGGCTTGTCTCAATGAAATATATTTTCAGATGATTCTCCCCTCTCTGCCTCCAGGAAGGATTATTGCCTTAAAAAAAAGAGAACATAAAAGGTGTTCAAGGTTTCCCCAAATAAAATATTCCCTATACTGGATGTCTCTGGCTGTTTCCTTTTGAAGATTTCGTAAGAGTGTACTGTAGCTTATTAATTTATTCACTTGCCCAGCATGCATTGAGTGAATAATATGTGCTCTAGGCACTGTGCAAGGTTTGGGGAATGCTCCTATACATGAGATAGGCAGTGTGTTCAGCTGGCCAGGAAAGACATTTAGATAAACTGACAGATAGAAGTGATCAGTAAGGTCAGGGCGAGATTGGCACTTAAACCAGAGGAAACAATCTGAGGAGAAATGTTTTAACTGACAGCTGGAGAATAAACTGGATTTAGAGAAACAGATAAAGTAGAGGCATAAATTCTGAGAAACATGAAGAAACGCCAGACTGGAAACTTGTGCAAAACAACCTCTGGGGTGTTGTGAGAGGGAATCTGTTGGACTGGTGTTGTCTGGGGCCCCTCACTTTGGCCTCACAGAGAAGGAGGAATTCTGCAGCCAGCTCTTTTCTAGGTGGGTTGCTGTTTCAGAGAAGCTTCCGTTTGGCCCGGCTGATTCCTGACCCATGAGAGGCCACCACACACACAGCTGCTAGAAAGCTGGGTTTCTTGTCTGAGCAGTGTGTCCCAGCTCATTGGGAAGTAGATCTTTTCTGTCCTGAACGTTCCTGCAGCTTCTGTACTTTGCAGTCTTCCCTGTGTATCAAGAGGCTACAAATATTAAATGTTGTGTTTTGCACATGATTACACTCACAGGTCTGCGGAACAGAAAGACTGAGCAGATACAGCACAGCAGAATAAATACTACTAAGAAGAGAAGGCTAAAAGAATACAGGCTAAGTATAATTTTTCTGAATTTAAAAGTTCTTCCATTTAAAATTGCCAATCCAAAAATAGCGTTAGGAATTAAAATTGAACCAAAGGGTCTACTTGTGTCTAGCAGTAAGTTTTGAGATCAGTTCATAGCAAGTACTGGAACCAATTTTGTGAGCCCATTGTTAAAACACTGTTACCTTGAAATGGTCCAGAATCAATATTTATACCACAGCAATGATCAAGGCATAACTAGAACTTTGTATTCCCAGACAACGAGTTTAACCCCTAACACCACCTCTGTCGCGATACCCCAGTTCTCATCCTGGTTAGCCACCACTGTTACCAATTTCTTTGTGTCCTTCTAGAAATTCTCTCTCCCGCATTCACACACACACCCCTATTATAAATATTAATAATCATACTCTTCATTCTGATCCTAATCTTTTAATACCGTATCTTGGGTATGGTTACCTATTAATACATATCGACAAAGATTGTGTGCATAATATTATAATGTGAAGATGTGCCAGACTATATTTAACCAGTGGCCTATAATGAATATTTATGTTGTTTTAATTCATTGCCACAACAATCAAAGCTACAATAACTTTTTACCCATTACTTACACACAAATACTAGCTTTAATTTGATGTGTACTTACAAGTTTCTGCACTAGCTAAGATATTGAATAGTAAAACAGATCCTCCTCTCAAGTTTCCTCAAAATATTTGACAGAGAACTCTGAGCTGGACCCTAGAATGATCCCACTTTATCCATTTTTTTGTCTAAAGAACCATATGATTCCAGCAAGAAAATAATGATGCAGGAACACGCACACCCACACACAGTGTGATAAATGCTATAACAAATTTCTAAATATATATAGTATAGGAACTCAGGAAACAAATTGATTCCACATGGATAACAAAAATTTGGGGAGAGCTGAGCTCTGAGGAAGGAGAAGGGGCAGGAAGCATACCTTACACATGTGACTGCCTCCAGAGAGCCAAGCACTTTTTTCTTTTTAAGTGTTCTTTTTTTTTTTAAAGATTTATTTATTTATGCATACAGAACTGGGGTACGGCCAGAGGTACAGGGGCAGTGAAAGGATTCACCAGAGACAGAGTGGGGAACAGAACAGGCAGACTGATGAAGTACGCTGCTGAGGGAGCAGCCGGCCAGACAGGAGAGGTCTGCCACACCTTGTGGATCACCCCCGGGGCGGGGATCGAACTCACATTGAGGCGGCTGTGGCTCTCTTGCAGTCCTAACCCACTGTGCCACCAGGGAGGGCCCAAGCCAAGCACTTTTCTAGCTCTCCTTAAGAGCTACATAAATAAAAGTGGATTTATGTTAGACATAAATCTTTCCTGATGGTGGGAGAATCGAAAGTCATTGTGGAAACAGTTGTGCAGTAGAACTGCTTGCAGAGATGTTAGAATGGAGTAGATTTCTGCTCATCTGGAAGCTGTGATTGTTATAATCCATCTTATTCAATGGGTCAGATGAGGTTAAACTGGCATTTGATCCAGGGGTTTTTGTACGCTGGGTCGGACATCTAGTGATTGTCTCCAACTGGATTCACACACACACGTACATCATATTTTCACCTGGAAGTCCAATGTGTGGTCTCACTTCTAAAAATAACATAAATGCAGCCCACCTCAGACTGCTGCTGAATGTGGGACATTTCCCTGTGCTCCCAGGGCCTGTGAAGGGCTCCGAGTCCCACCTTCCTTGCAATCACTGTCCCTGTGTAATCCGGCAACTTCTGAGACACCGGCTTTTGTTCTCGGTCCGCTCCAGCATACAAAAACCCCTGGATCAAATGCCAGCGCTTTTCTCTTTGTGAACCTGACTCAGTTGTGCCCAGCACAGCACCAGCCTCATGATTCAGAAACTGGAGCTGATGCTCAGAACACGTTAGCAGCCTTGACAGATGCTCTTGTGCAATGGAAGCACTTTGACCCTTGCCTAATAAAATTCTGGTAAGTTAACTCTGAGCTGCCAAACTGCCTTTTACTGGTGTCCCCACTCCCTATTTCTGAAAATGTACCAATTTAAGTCTGTGCCTGGGTCACCAAATAAAGGGTGTGAGCCCGCTGAGAACCAGCCACAGGCCCAGAGCAGCTGAAAAAGGCCCAAACTTGGCCCAACTGTCTATCTTCTAAAGTCTACCTTCCAAAATAAAATTAGATAAATGTTTTCTCATGCCTAAAATCTACCTAGATTTAATAACCCATTTTATGTCAGGCACAGATAGATATCTAATCTTTTCAACACCCCTGTCTCACTGCTAACAATAGAGGAACAGGTGTGTAAAGTGACATTAACTTGTATCTGCCTTATCAAAAGCAGGGAGCTCCATTTCAACTAGTATTTTGGGTTAATAGGAAGCTATGAAATCACAACTTTAGGGCCCTCCCTGGTGGTGCAATGGGTGGTGGTGCACAGCACTGTGAAGCCAGCCACAGCCTCTTCAGCTCGAGTTTGATCCCTGCCCCAGAGGTGACCCACATGGCGTGGCAGACCTCTCCTGACCCACCCGCTGCTCCCCTCAGCAGTGTACTTAGTTGATTAGCCTGTTCTACTCCCCACTCCATCTCTGGTGAAGCCTCTCACTGCCCCAGCACCATCAGCCTATACTCTAGTTCTATATGCATAAATAAAATTTCTTTTTAAAAAAGAAATCAGAACTTTAAAAGATTAGAACATTTAATTGCAAATATTTAATCCAAAAGCTATGTGTAATCTAACATGGAAGTTGATAATTGCATAGGTATATCCAGAGGACACTGTTGTGGGTCACAAATGTTCAGACCTCCTTGCTCTAAGCGCTGTGTTCAAACCAGGGACACCCAGAAGCTCGATAGAAATACAGAATCTCAAGACACACCACAGAAATCAGATGGTGCATTTAATATGTTAATCTGTGTGCACATTAAAGTTGGAGAAACTTTGTCCAAAAGAATTGAAGTCTTCCTTTAAAATATCTATAATCAATAGGTTGAAATAACTAGCTGTTTTTTTTTTTTAAGATTAATTTATTCATACAGAACTGGGGTATAAGCCAGAAGTGCAGGGGCGGTGAGAGGATTCACCAGAGACAGAGTGGGGAGCAGAAGAGGCAGACCGACGAAGTACACTGCTGAGGGGAGCAGTGGGCAGGTCAGGAGAGGTCTGCCACACCATGTGGATCACTTCTGGTGCCGGGGGATGGAACTCGCACTGAAGTGGCTTTGGCTGGCTTGCAGTGCTGTGTCCTAACCCGTTGCACCACCAGGGAAGGCCTGAAATAACCAGCTTTTAATTTAAAAATTACACATTTTAATTATACTTGAATTAGAGATGAAAGTATCAGTCCATTCCTCACAGCCACATGTCCTGACTTTCTGAGTGGGTTGCTGGGACCCAGGAGCGGGGCAGGGCTGGACAGTGGACTTTGGAAGAGAGGTGGGCGGAGCTCGGGACCTTTCTAGCTGGTACCTGCCAGTGGCTCAGGGCTTTCTCAGCTGGGTCCCCACCTGCTTCTGCTTGGCCCCCTGGCCCCACTGAGCAGATGCTATTTGAGTAGGATAAATAATCTCTTCCATGTGCCAGCCAGTAAGTTTTCTCTTATGTTTTCTCCCTGTTTCTTCTTTTTCATGTGACAAACTAAATCTTTTTTGTTTATTGGGCTGGGGAAACATTAACTCCCTCCCCATTTTACCATCGCCAGTGTTCCTTTTGAATTATTACCCTATTACAGTTTGAGGTAGTCAGAGAGGTCCTGCCTTCCACTGCAGTGCATCACCACCCAATCTTGACCTTGAGGGTCCTTCTCACCCTTAGCCCTCACTCCTATACACAGACCCAAGGTGTGGAATAGGCACCCTGGTCCTGCTGGGTCCTGCTGGGTCCTGCAAGTCTCTCCGGACACAGCCTTCTCTTCCTGACCATCAAGGGCTGCCACTTATCTGACTTTCACACTGTTGGTGCCACACTGCTGAATTCTCCCAAACCTCCTGACATTTTTTGCCACTGTCTTGAGAACATCTGTGACTTTGACTGCAGCTAATTGAGTTATTTAGTCAAACTGGAGATCATGACCCTCCAGTACCTACTCTTCTCCCAATCACACACTTTGCATTGACTTTCTGAGGGGTATAGCTTAATCATTGTCATCTTTGCCAATTCTCGAATGGCATTGTTATAGGGCACCCCAATTCAGTTAAG